GGAGTATAGCTAAAAGTTGAGAAGATTCTTATTCCCTCCGAGTGAAGCACTGGAGTAACTCCTGCTGTGTGCTGTCTCAGAGCTGTAACACTCCCTGCTTGCCTTATTAAAGAAGCTCTTTCTGTGCTCTTTTGATCAGTGCACCAGCCTCCCTCAAATAGGAAAACAGAAATAGAAATCAAATGCTTTTGCTTTTAAAAAAGAAAAAAAATCAATAGCAGCTGTCAGGCACTTGAAGCACAAGAATAAGTGGCTGTGCCTGCATGACAAAGGCACATATTTTCAGAAAGGGAAGGGGAATTCCAGTTTCTGAAAAGATGATTTTAAATAGCTGTCATAATTAGGGATCAATTCATTATTATTCTAAGTCGCCTTAAAGGGCATTCTTATGCTGATGACATTAATTATGTGTTTGATAAAGTCATTACAGTGTAGTTACACACGTGCCAATGCTCTTGGAAGAGGGAAAGGGAGAGAGCCCTGTGCTAGTTTCAAGCTCAACCTGTCTCCTATTTCCCCCTCCCTCCCTGAATTCTGGGAAAGGGGGTTTAGCAGATCCAGGAGATGTTGTCCTAGAGGGCCGTTTTACTAGGCACAAAGGTGTGGGCTGGGAAAACAAAGCCCCTGAGTGGGTTTGCTGTGGGTGTTTGGTGTTTTTTAAACCCTCAGTAAACGACTGTTTCTTCTCCAGGCATTATGCAATAAAAGCTGATTGAAACAGACACAGCAAAAAACTTCCAAAACCATCTAAGCTCTGGAATTTCAGGGGAGCACTCAGAAACAGTGCTCAGGAATTATGTTAAGGTTTTTTCAAGGGCTTTCTTTAATCTCTGCAGACTAAGAGAGCACAAAGCCTTCCTCTGGTAAAGGCTCTCAGAAATAGCAATATGGCAATTCTGATTTCCAAGGTCTGTGCTTATCTATTCTTGTGGAAAATCAGGAAGAGAGCAATGGATGGTGAAATGCTCTGCAGATAAGTCCCAATACCTTGAATTTGTAGGCTGAGGCAGAGAGGAGGCAGTGGCTGTGACACCACAGTAACATGTCTGCATGCGAAAGATTAAAATTAGCATTCCACATTCGATGGGGATGTCTGGGAGCAGCTCCATTCTGGGAACACTGGGGTGAAGGTTAGAGAGACTCAAGGACTCACTGTTACCTGTGCAGGGACAATGGAGAGGAGTCACTACAGGAACCAACAGGGCATTTCAAAGCAGCTGAGGATCAACTCATGATCCCCAAAATCTCGTAAATCATATGCAAATGCAGCAATAATCTGCGTTCCCTTGTACTCAAGGGAAGGCAGCAAATCCTGCACATTCCCTGGGGGGGGGGTCGATCCAGCTCCTCAGCCAGGGTAACACAGAACTGGGGAGAATCCAGCCAAAAATGGCTTCTGGCTCTGCCAGCAGTGACAGTGTCACAGGTGTCTGCAAGAACAAAGGGAGAGATGCTCAGCACGTCCTATGTTTTAGAAACACTTTCTATTTAAACACAGAACTAATTACCAGAATGGTCCAAAGAACTGAATCAAGTGACCTGCTCATTATTATTGAACCAAGAATTCTAACTTGAAAACTCCTGTGGACACTTTTCAGTGTAGCTTTCATCTGGAGTTTGGAAGGAAAATACCCTTTTGATTTTTTTTAACCTTTGCTCCTGACCATGACCTTTCTAAAATATTCCCAAGTGTCCATGTCTGGCTTTCTGCTGGCAATCCCTGTGCACCTGATGAGCTGAACCAGCTCACAGGAATGAAATGCAGCAGCTCTTACATGAAATAGCTGTTCCAGAAGGTAACTACCAGCCTTAACCCACAAGGGCCTTTTAGTTTTCAATTAAAGGACCAGACTCCAATTAGATCAAAACCATTCACATAAAAAGAGAGCCTGTGTTGCAGTATTTGGGAGGCCAGAATTAGCCTCGCTCTAAGTTGCTGTTCCTCCCGTGGAAATTTAGTCACCTTTACTAATTGATTTTCCTTTAAATAATTAAGCTTAGCTGCCTGAGCAGGCTGCCACCTACTAAAATGTCTGTTTTAAGGACAGACACACAAATGTAGCCTTTAATAAGAGCCGAAAATGTTCATTTCCCCCAAACAAACCCCAACCTGTGGCCAATTGGAGTTGGGCCGTGATCAGGATGCCCTGTTGTGGTGCTGACTTGCAGCAGCAGTAGCTGAGCTGGTTCTGGATGCATAAAAAAGGGCTTTTTATTTTTCCAAAGCTTTTAAGTGTTAAGCAGGAAGTATCATGTGATGGGGCAGATGTACCTTAGAAACACATGCAAGAAAATTCCAAAACCATTAGAGCTGCTGGCAGGAGGTTCCACCTTGCCAGAACCTGTTTGTGATTAATCCTGTAAACTTTGGAGCTGTTATCCCAGCACTGCTCTGCACCTTTTGGAGCTTTCCTGCAGCCAGATGCTGGATTTCCAAGAGAAGTCCTTTGCTGGTGAGAGAATAACCAAGAATATATTAAATGGAAATTCCTCGATTTCTTAAAGGATTTTTCCCTCAGAGTCTTTCAGAAACACTTTTGTGATTTAGAAGCAAAATTATGTTCTCTGACGTGGACACTGACTGTGTCTGAATCCTAGATATTCCTTCAGGAATCTGCTGTTCTCCAAGTAGTGTACACACAAACAAAGGCTTTAAATTGTTTTTCCTACTTTGCTGTTGACTTTCTACATAGTCTTAGCAGTCACAATTCCACTTCTCTCTGTGATTGTTTCCTTCCTGTGAAATAAGGTTTTGTTGGCAAACCTGCTCTAGTTACACCAGTCACAGCTGGAGTAAAGAGCCTTCCCAGCCTTAGGAATGGTTGCACAGAGAGCTCTCAGGTGCCCAGTGTTTGTTTCATGTCCAGGAGGACACAGCAAAGCTCACTCAGAGCTGTTCCCATGGTGTTATTGATGGGTTATTTGGCTGTTTCAGCTTTTGTGCTATTCATCAGATGGGTTACAAAGCATAATAAAGGGATCAACTCCCGGATTGATTTTCTTGTCTTCCAGACTGGCAGATAAGGCAGTGAAGGAATATGCAACGTACCGCTCTGGCCTGCTCTTCTGGGCGCTTGTTGATCTCATTTACAACATGTTCAAGGTAAGGAAAACCTGGAAATTCATCTGTATCAGCTGGAATTCTTCTATCTCAGCTTTCTAACCTGTGCAACTACAGGAATTTGAAATAGAAGACAAACTTTGAAGCCCCTTTTTCCAAGATCCTTGTAAACACAAAACTTCATAGAATCACAAGAATGGTTTGTGTTGGAAGGGACCTTAAAGCCCATCTTCTTCCTCCCCCTGCCATGGGCAGGGACACCTTCCACCAGCCCAGGCTGCTCCAAGCCCCGTCCAACCTGGCCTTGGACACTTCCAGGGATGGGGCAGCCACAGCTTCTCTGGGCAACCTGTGCCAGGGCCAAACCACCCTCATAGGGAGGAATTTCTTCCTTCTTCCTTTTTCTTCTTTACCTTGTAAGAGCACAAAGGCTGCAGGAAGCTGCCTGTGCTTATTGTACCCCTTGCAGTTCAGTATCTGAAGAATTGAGAGACTTTGCCAGTTGGCAGCACTCCTGTATTGTGTATTTGCTTATTTTTCCTATTCATTGTTCATAGAAACAGGAACATTCCAAGGGAAACTGTTGGGTAAGGTAGGAGGAAGGGGCATCCACAAGAAAAAACCTGCAGCTTCTAAAGAATGTTAAGTAGTTGATGTGAGAAAATGCCTGTGACCTTGTTTCATTCTGTACAAGACGATGGTCAAGTCACACATGGGATAACTTGTTCTCTGTGGTGTGTTTGCAAGAGGCAGGGCATGCAAGTCCAGGAGCAACAGGAGAAGGCAGCAGGGTTTGCAGTTACCGTTTTAAATAGTTATTTTTTTAGACTGATTTGGTCTCCTGTTCCCCTCTCAGAAGGTGCCTACCAGTAACACAGAGGGAGGCTGGTCCTACTCTCTCGCTGAGTTCATCCGACACAACGACATGCCAATACACGAAGCTGCAGACAAGGCCCTGAAAACCTTCCAGGAGGAGTTCATGCCAGTGGAAACGTTTTCTGAGTTTTTGGATGTGGCTGGTAAGTGTGTGCTTTCCCTTTTATAGGCTGCCTCATGCAACTCGTGACTGGAGACAGCAGCATTCCTGACACTGCTGCAGCTTGTTTGGATGAGACAGGGAGAGCAGAGACACCAGCAGTCCTAAACTATTTCAGAAACAGTTGGGACATGCACTTGAGCATCCCCAGACAGGAAATTCTCTCCCAGCTGATCCTGCAGGTCCTCCCCCTGCTCTGTTAAACATACAGACTTAGAGCTTGAAGGTGTTTTGAGGGGTACGTGGTTTGGTAAATAGATGTGACCATGCACTGGAGGCAGCAGTTGGGTGCATCCAGTGTTCCTGCTGAAGGGATTTTGGTACCCCCAGGAGTCAGGAGATGCTGAAAACATGCAGAGAAGCTGTTCTTACTTCTGTCAAGAGTTGTGCCTCAGGTCTCTTCCTGTTCAGTGTATGGAGCATAGCAGGATCCCTGTAGCTGCACAAGAGCGAGTGCCATATGGATTTAATGCACACATTTCAGTCCCTCCCTTCTGCTCATGAGTCCAACAAGGGTTTTTTTATCCTCGTTGTATCCAGACTTAAAATAAGATTGCAGCTGTCCTTAGTGACTTACTTACACATGCCCAGCACAAATCCTCAGTGTGGGCAGGAGAAGCAGTGTTTTGGATCTAATTCTTCTGTCTTATCTTCTTTTGTTTAAAGGACTCTTGTCAGAAATCAATGACCCCGACAGCTTCCTCAAGGATCTTTTGAACTCCATCCCATGAGCAGCCAGCACAGAGAAGCTTTGGGCAGAGACTACACTAGCTTGCCTTCCACCCCTTTGTGTTCCTTCTCGTGCAGTCTGTCCCTTCCCTGAGGAGTGCTGCAGTTTTTTGTTGGATTTTTTCTTTTTTTTTCCTTTTTTTTTTTTTTTTTTTTTTTCTTTTTTTTTTTTTTTTGGTTTGGTTTTGGGTTTTTTTGTTTTGTTTTGTTTTCTTTTTGGTTTTTTTTTTTTTATTTTCTACAATTTTTCTTCATGGAGTGATTTGGAGTTTAGATTTGTTTTATCCTGTATTTCAGCGCTTCTGTCTGTAAAGCCTCATGCATTCAAGCTGGTTGAAAGAACTTGTACAGAGAGGAATCCAAACCAGTAAATCTTAATGCTTTAGCATGCACCTCTTTGAAGTTCAATAAATCGAACAAATGGGTAAGCTGGGTTTGACTAGTACTTGAAGTAGCTTAAATACCAAGTTCTTTCCCACATTTTCTTTTGGAGCTCCTTCTCCCAGGGCTCAGAGCTGCTGCTCTGTCCAGCCCTAAGTCTGGACAAGGAGCCACAGGAAGCAAAAGGCTCCCAGTGAGTGAGGGAGCACTGGGCACTGACTGACTGACTGTGTGTGCAGGTTCCCCTGTGGGACATGAGCCTTGCCCTGCAGGGACCTCCCACCTTCCTTCACCTGGCTGTGGGCAGGAGCTCCGTGTTCCCCTCTCCAAGGCATGTTGGATCACGGGGCCTGTCCTGACCCCGCTCTCACCAAGGCTGTATCCAAAGCACGTCGTGCCTCCCATGGCAACAGCCCCTCTCAGAGGGGTCCTACTCGCATCACACTTATCTTCTCTCTCTGATAAAACTTTCAGCTTCAGCAAAATGCATGTTCAAGAGACCCTGCACACTTCTGGAGCCTGCTGAGCGCCTGCATCCCATGTGCATGCCCTGCCCTGGAGCCAAGCACGTGCTTGGAATACAGCCTTGCCCTTCTCACCCACCTGTGCATGCTGGAAACCTCCCCTGCCCACCAGTTGTTCTCCTGTAACCAGCTGCCACATGGTGAGGCTGGAATCTAATAAAGCTTTCCCTGTCTTCCTCGTCTCTGTTTGAACTTGAATTTCTGCAATCCTAATGCAGTCCCATCCCAGAAAGAAGAAGAATAACAATAATTTTACAGGCTGAATAACTCCCCAGCCTATTTGATGCCTTTTGTCGGTGTTGGCCCCGCGCTGTGATTTGGCAATTAGCGAAGGGGTGAAGGTGCAGTGTTTTTGTTCTCACCTCCATGGGTGCTGATGTCACTCCTGGCAGTTGGATTTGCTGCTGAGGAGGAGAATTGAGGAGCAAACAGCCTGGAGAGGTTTGTAGTAGTGTCTTACAAGGGACTCAAGGTCTGATGGTGGGTTGGGTAACTGTCTTGCCTTGTGAAGTACAGGAGGGTCTGATGTGGGGTTTGTTCTCTGTCCTGCACCTCACCTGCCTTTGAGCCACATCAAAGAGCAAACCTTGTTTTAAAAGCACTGTAAAGTGAAATATAACAGTCCTCTCTCCAGATGAGCAGCTCTAATGTTCCCACAGGTGGATGCACCAGTGTTTCCAGCACTGCTGTGCAGCAGCCTGGGAAATGCTAAAACCCCTTTGAAGTCAGTGACCCTCCAGATCTGTGATTCCTGAAGGCAGCGGGGAACAGGTAACAAGAAACCAGGTTTTTATGACTGTGGTTCTAAAGGTTCTCTCAATTCAGTGCAAGGCTGAAACCCCACCATGTTTTGACTTTGTCATTTGTGTAACATTGAGTGGTTAAGCTCCACACGAGAACTGTTAAGGAGTTTTGGGGAGCTGGGAGGAGCACCAGGCTGCCTTGCTGACCTTCTCAGTCTCTTTTCTGACAAAAATAGATCTCTTCCCCTTCAGCCACAGCCTTGATGTGCCAGCAGTCCCTCAGCTTTTGCTCCACAGCTTTGCCTCCCTGGCAAAGGAAGGATGTTACACCTTGGCAGTGCCTTTGTGCAGCTTTTCCCTCTGAGGGAACTTCAGCATGGCTTCAGCACAGCACAGCTGATGGGAACCCTGGTTTGTTCTGTTGGTGTTGGCACAGGTCTTCTGCAAAAACAGGCTCTTCTGCTGCAGGAACTGGTAAAGTTTATAGCAGCCAAATAATTCTGTTTCTACCCATTCAGTTGGTTCAGCAGATCCTTAAACTTACCAGGAGCAGAACGTGATCACTGTTTGTTCACTGATGTTTATAAGACAAGGAGGAGATGGAATCTTAAAGGGAGGTTATAAACTGTGTTCTTACAATTACAGTTTCAATAAGCTCCTCAGAGCTATTCTGGATGGTTTTGCAAAGGCCCACAAATGTGTTTTGGAAAATAAAGGTGGCTCATCGAGTACCTCCCTGCCCAGAGCACAGGAGAGAATTATGGACAAGCCAGGGCTGAAAAGAAGGTGGGAACAGCCTGACAGTGGAGCAGAATAGCCTGGGAGGGACTAATGGCTGACAATAACAACCCCAGAAGACCTAGGGAGGGACAAGAACAAAAGGAAAGTGTTTTGGAAAGTTTCAGCTGACCAGGCTGACCACACACAGAGGCTCCAATGTTCTTAGTGCTGCACAAAGGCAAAGAGCTCCAGGGGAAGTCAGCAAAGACTTTGGGGGAGCGTTATTAAATTAGAAGTAAGAGAGAAGACTGAGGGAAAATGCCTCAAAGGGGGTAAAATTACTCAAACTGATTAACTTGTCCAGGAGCTGGACAACAGAGTCAACCCCCCCTCTCAAAAAAATAATCAGTTAATTTCCAACGACATTATTTGGGGGAAAATCCTTTGTGATGCACAAGAGGCACTGTGAGCTGTGGGATTGCTTTGGCCCTGTGGGCAAGAGCTTCCCAAGGCGATCTGACATCCCAGCTGTTCACGCTGGGCCGGACTCGGGTGATCCTTCCTGAGTTTGGGAATGATTAATTACTCCAGGGAGAACAGGGTGCCCTGTCCGCGGTGGGAACACACCAAGCCCTCCCACCTGCAGGTGACAAGGCCTCAGTTCATTCATTGTCACTTCCATGGCTCATGGCTCATTCCAGGCTCCAGCCCCTCGGGCACCTGGGACCTGGACAAACCACTTGGCTATTCCATAAACATAGGAAGCTTGACCTTCCCCCTTGTATTCCATGATGGTTTCCTTGTCCTGCTGCTTTTTCCCTTTGTACTTCCCTTCTCCAAGCCAGGCAATGCCCTTCTGGAAGTGTTGCAGGGCTCTTTCCCACAGCTGTCGCAAGCCTTCCTCCTACTCCTCTCTCCCTGCTCCCAATGCTTCTGACCAGCTCTCCAGCCAAGTTTCTCCTGTGTTTTGTCTTTCACTGCAATTGCCTGCAAGTGTTTTCAAACAGGCTGTGGATTGGAGCTGCCGAGCATAAATGCACCGTGAGCTGCAGTGTTTCAGTGCCATAAAAAATTCCCTGGACTTTTTCCAACGGGGAAAAGTGATTTGTCTCCCTGGATGCGCATCTGCTCCACTTGTTTTTCAGGCAGGGGAGGACACCTGGATCATTCAGCAAGACCATGGTGGAGCCAGGTGGATGTACTTGGGTTCATCTTGGGATTGCAGTCCCACAGACCTGGATTGAGTCCCATGTGCCAATTTTGGCTGTTGAGCTCCTTTTCCTTCAGGAATGTCCCAACAGGCTTTGCCAGCCTGGCCCATTCCAACTCCCCAGCAGGAATAACCCTCTGGCCATGAGCCTCCAGCGGCCAACCCATGTCTGCTTTGGCAGTAAAGCAAATATCCTGGAGAATTCCCTCCCTGCCTCAGCTTTCCCTTTTGGACCAGCCCTGTTTCCATTTCAGGGAGTTATTCCTTATCGGTTTATACTCCATGGAGCTCAAGGACTGGATGAGACATTCTCCAAGCAAATGAGCATCAGAAATGAGTACAGAAAGCACCAAGTCCAGGTTCCTGAAATAAATTCACAATAATTATTTAATTATTAAATTCCAGGGGCAATCACCCTGCCAGCCCAAGGAGCAGCTTTCCCAGCACATCCTAGGACCCAAGAGACCTCTCATGGTCCGTGTGGCTTATTTAGGAGCCACCCGAGATAGGAAAATCAAGATTGGCCTCGACTTGTTTGCTGCACTTTGCTGGACCATGTTCTCACCCGAGCAGGGATGATTCACACCTCACGTGTAAGGAATCAAGGGTACAGGAAAAAACTCACTGTGCAGCTCCTAAGGAATCAAGGATACAGGGATACAGCTCATAAGGACTACTGGTAAAGGGGCTTGGGTCAATTAAGTACGAAATCACTTTAGGGACGTCCCCCCAGTACATGAACTTGTTGGGAGAAAGCAGCTGCAACCACCTGATCCTCCAGGAATAGTTACTCCCTTATTTCCAAGAGGGAAAAAAAATAATTATTAAACCCCTGTTTGTAGATTGTTTTAGCCAGAATTGGTCCCGTGTGTTCACACTGACAGCTCAGCTCAGGGAGGAACCAGCTCCATCCCTTTTATCCAAACCCCGCATTTCAGCAAGGATCCCTCTCCCCCTCCCCGTGGCCAGTAGGAAGAGATGCTTTTTGTTTAAAATTATTTTTAAAATGGTGCAAATGACATGTTGAGGGGAAGCCTTTGTGCTGTGTTTTAACCCCAGGCAGGTTGGGGTCCTCCAGGCATTGCCTTCCCAAAAGACAGCATCCCCATCCCAAATGGGAAGCTTTCAGGGTGTGTGAGGCGCTCTTGTCTGTTGCCTCTGGAAAGATTTTGTTTATTTTCACAGAGCTTATTAATTTTTTTAGAGCAGGATCATCCCGTGCTCACAGCTGTTCCTACATCCCGGCTCTGTTGCTGCAGGTCCCAGAATTGGAGTGGGAATTACAACCTCTCTCTTGCCCTGCAGTGATTTTCCCCTTCATCCCATCCCACCATCGTCACAGATCCAGGAGGAATCAGACACATTCCCTGCTGCCTGATTCCCACAGCCAGGTGCTGCAGAGCTCTCCTGCCCCTTTCTACACCCCCTGGGAGCATCAGGCACCTCACGATGGATTTCCCACTCCAAAAAGCAGGGCTTTCTTTCAGAGAAGGTGTCACCACCCGACACTCCTTGGCCTGACTCAGCCTGGCCCTTTCCCTTGTGAAATACGAACCACCTGTAGGTGAATCACTGCCTGAGCTGTGGGAGAACACCAGCCAAACCTGGTGCAACCCTCCAGTGAATCCTCAGTGATCCACAAATGGCCCTGGAGCTGCAGGAGAAATGGGGTTGATGCAGAGAGCCCAGATCTGCTTTTTGACCTGCAGCAATTAACCCTGACCTGCTCCATGGGGGGAATATACTGATTTTTTTTGCTCCTGGGGAAGCAGGATAACACTCTCCCTACAGCCCTTCTCCAGTGGGGAAGGTGTGAGATATAGAAAAGGGCAAATATTAAGCAGAAATTGGAAAATTAAGCTGTTTGTGGTTTAAGCTCAGCTTTGATGTATGAAGAGAGGCTGAGCTTTAAAAAAAAAAGGAATATGAGTAACATCGTGTTCAATCTTGGCTGCTCTTGACTTGAGAGCAATGTTGGGTCCAACATCTTTCCCATCTCTCCCTGTCATGGGGACATGGTGGGACTGGAGAAGGAGTAAAGGAGATGTTCTAATGTGGGACAGGAGGTAGAGGGCAGGGCAGCCAGGGATACCCACTCCTTAAAGGGCTGTTAGGCTCCAGTCATTGAGATGTGAGATCTTTACCATAATGATAATAGCCCAATAATTACTGTTATTCATAACAATAATCCCGTTCATTCTTTCCCAAGTGTTGTGCCAACAGGACCTCAGTCACCCTCAGCACGTGCCCTGGGGTAAGTGGGTGCTGTCCCCAGCCCGAGATGAGGGAAAGGCTCAAGATGCTCCTGTGGAGGCTGAAATCCTCTGGGGCTTGAACACAAATTACAGCCCTGGGCAGAAATGACAGCCAAAAGCAGCACCCAGGGACTGATTAAATCTCATTTTCAGCCCTGAGGGGTGTTTGGGATGTTGTCTCTAGTTATCTCTTGTGTTGGTGTTGGCCACACCACCCAAATATCCATGTTTGGGACACCCCACAAGCCCTTCTC